TACATAGTCAAGCCCTGGTGTTTTTTTTTTTTTTTTTTTTTTTTGGTTTGTTTGTTTTTTGTTTTTGTTTGTTTTATATCTTTTGATGAAAAGTTCTGAGATTATATATTCCTTATGCCCTCTTTGGTATGTTAAATCTCTTCAGACTGAAGTGTATCTTCTAATATTCTCTGTAGAGTGGGTTTGTGGACATAAATTTCTTGTCTATTTTTGTTGTGTAAAGTTTTTTTTTTTTTTTCTCCATTGATTACAACCGATAGTTTTGCTGGGTATGGTGTTTGTTGGTCTCTTAGAACTTGTAGTCCTCCTGGCTTTCAAGGTTTCCATTGAGAAGTCAGGTATTCTGATGAGCCTGCCTTTATTGTTGAATTGGTCTTTCTCTCTTGGTGCTTTCAATGTTCTTTCTGTTTTGTGAGTTGACTGTCTTGGGAACTTTTCTAGTCTTTTCTAGAGGTATTTTGTTAACCTTATGGGTCTTACCAGGCATCCCTTTGCTTAGATAAGAAACTTTTCTTCTGTGATTTTGTTGAGAATATTTTCTTCTTCTTGTGTTCTTAGTATTCATAAATTTGTTCTTTACAGTAACCTAGATTTTCTACATGTCCCATTTCTGGGTTTTGTTAGGTTTTCTTTGACTGATGTGTTCTTGTACCTAGTCTGTGGCACTTAGAAGTCTCTTCTGTTTAAAATAGTTCCTCTGAGCTCTTTGCTGACTTCTTGAGTTCAAGTTTTATTTCATTTTTGGTTTTTCTTTAGAGTTTCTTTTTATTAAATCATATTCTCATATCTTGAATTGCTTTATTTCATTCAACTGGTTTTACTCATAGTCTTTGTTTAGAAATTTGTTCATACCGTCTTTCAATTCCTTGAACATATTTATAATTGCTGTTTTGAAAACATTGTCCTGCGCATTAGCAGAGATTCTTTTCTCAGGGAACATTACAATGGGGACACTCGTTATTCATGTGACCCAGTGACCTAGGGTCCTATGGAGTTAGTGTTTCTTGTTGTGACTCTCTGGCCTCATGTTTCTTGAATGGTTGTTTGGCTCCTGGTTTGCTTTCACCCCAGCTTGTCAGCTTATGCTTGATGAATGGTGTTTGACCATTCTGTGTTGGTACATGGATGAAATGTCTAAAGTGGTGCTGGTTCAGGACAGGCTCCAAAGCAATACAGAGAAACCCTGTCTTGAAAAACCAAAATAAATAGATAAACAAACAAACAAATAAATAAATGAAGTGTTCCTGGTTCAGCAAGAGACAGGTGCAGCTTCTGAGCCTAGGAGATAACTTGTGTAAGTTTAGAAGATTTTGTCTGCTGACTATCAGATCTTAGTAGAGGGCTCTCCATGCTCTGTTAGTAGTACTTGGAAAATGGGCCAAGTGCTGCTAGTGCATATTGGGGTCTGATTTGTTGGTGGGTGTGGGTATGGATTCAGGTGACCTACCTGGAGTTCTGGGGAAGACTCCATGAGGTGCCAGATCCAGGACCAGGTGGGGGTGATGGAATGGGGTGATTGAGAGGCAAGTGGGTAGGAGGATGGGTTCAGAAATCTACTTGGATTTCTGGGGAGAGGTGGATGGCTGGATGACTGATGGGCAAAGGAATGATGACCTGCGTGAAGTTCTGGGACAGACACTACATTGTTTTGGTTTAGGCTGGGTAGTACATGGGTGGGGATCGGAGTGACTGATAAGCAGGCTGCTTGGAGAGTGGGTCTGAATGATACATGTCTTGTTGTTAATATTTCTTTATATGTTCTTCTCAAGTCCTTTGACACCAGTAGTCTGAATATTTGCTCTTTATATACTTTCTTGGGGTTCCTTTAAGCTTTCTGTATTCTTCCTCATTTCTTTGTGCACTTTAAATAAGCTTACTTTGCCCTAGTGGTCCTTTGAGCTCACTTATTTTTTTCTCCTGTTAATCTGTCCTACTGGTGCCTCTGACATGTTGTAAGTTTTACTGTGTGCAGTTTTACAACTCAAAATTGCTTTCGTCTCTTAAGTTTCCCCAAAGTTTACTTTAATGTTTAAGTTCCTTTTCCAAATGGTGACGAGTACCTGGTCAGATTCTTGACACTGTAGTTTGAGCACTCAGTAAAGTCAGTGCCTAAACTGAGTAAACTCAGTAAAGCTAGTGGTGTGTGTTGGCATGTAGTGCATTTAGTCCAGCTTCCTAAGCAGTGTGTTTCATCCAAACCTGTGATCATTTCCACTATTTCAGAACTAGATAGCACCCAGGTCCTGATTAGCCCAAAGTCTGGTGTTAGTATGTTGTCACTACTTCAGTATTTGAGGGTCATTCAAACCAGGTTTTATTCCAGATAGTCTATCAGCGTATTATTTAGAAAGAAATAGAAGGATATTTAAAGTGTAGTCTGTTTCTAGAAGTGTGTGCTGGGACTAGAATGAGATTCAGTGTCTCCATTACAATAACTGGCCTGTGATCAAACACTAGGCTTTTGCCTGCTTTAGACAAGAGTCACTGTGGATGGATCAGTCCTAGGCTCTTAAGTCATTTGTGGCATCAAAGCCAACAATATATCGATCAATCATACCATGGACGCAGGATCAACATTTTTGTGGGTGGCCTGTTGCTATGGTAGATTTATGACCAGCATTGCCACAGCCAGTCACAGGTGATGCTATCTTTAGTACAGTCCGAGAAGACTGGCCTTGTGTATGTTCCTGTCACTAGAGCTTATCTGTAATCTCTGCACAGGCTTTCCCCAGCAAATATGGTTTTGTATCATTCTTTGCTGCTCAAGGTTAGGGGAGTGTTAGTGTAGGCAGGTCCTTGGCCAGCTGTACTGGTACTGAGGTAAGTCATACCTGAACCACAGAACTACAAGGACCTACACAATTTCAGTGGTGCACTGAAGTGCACATTTTAGAGTTAATTAGATTACCAAACCACAAGTCTCACAAAGGGACACCGTTTTCCTCCTGCTGTCAAGGTATGTTCTAAGCCGTCATTTGTAAGCACTGTCCTAGCAGTAGTTCTACCACCCTACATTAGGATTCAGGTGGTAGGACAATGCAGTCCATTGGACATCAGAGCTGTGCTAAACTGGACCTTGTTCATAACTGACAGCTACAGGCACCTGCACAGTTAAAGGAAGAGAATGGGAGTTCCGCAGACCAACACCAACTGAAGTAGCTAAGACTCAGGTCTGTGTACCAGGTATATTGGTCTGTGTACCAGGTATGCTGGTCTCCTGTTGCAGACTGGTATCTGTAGGCTTACTCTAGACTGTGTACTGAAAGCATATTTTCTACTGGGTATTTGTTCTTACTGCAGCAGGCCTATCACTGGGTTCCAAGATAGTTCTGTGCTCTCTTTCATGTCTTGCTTCTATTTTGTTGGCTATAGTTGGAAGAGTAGTCAGTAAAGCTTTCTCTTTTCTGCCTGTCTGGCACAGGTTCAGCAATTCACTTCTAAGGGTACTAGCCTGGATTTCAGTAGGATTGTGAGACTTCACTGTGGCAGACCTAGCTCAAGGTTTCTCATTCTGGTATTCTGGTTTATGAATAGCCATCTATAGGGAGAGATTGCCAGAGAATGTTAATCAGTTGCTATCCTGATCCGCTTTCCATAAAGTTCAAAGCTTATATTAGAGTTCAGTCTTCAAGCTGTGCATTCCTTAGGTTTTCACAAATATATTGTGCTGTTTAGCATCATATAAAATACTTGGACTGCCCTGGAATTTCCCTGTGCACTACCTCCTAATATCCACTGTTTACATCAGTTCCTGACTATCATTGCTCGTTTCCCCATCCTATAGTGTTGCCTTGTCTAAGATGCTACTAGCTACTTGTTTTTAATTACACTTATTTGTTATGTGTGCTTGCACATGTCACAGTGCATGCAAGTCAGAGTACAACTTGCAGAGAGTCAGTTATCTCCTTTCACCACAAGGGTTCTAGGGATCAAATTCAGGTCATTAGGCTAGGGAGCAAGTGCCTGTACTGACTAAGCTATATGAGAGATTTGCCCCATGAAGCAAGTATTCTTTTCAGATTAGCTTACTCATTTAGCAGTGTGCATTCAAGATTCATTTCTTCATGTTTGAAGCTTGATACCTTGTTTTCCTTTCTTCCCCCTCCCTTTCTTTTCCTCCCCCCCTCCCCCAATGCTGAAATGCCTCATTCTGTGGATATACCATAGTTTGTTGTGTTTAGAGACCATCAGAAGTTAAGGTTGGGGCCATCGGACACCTGGTCATGACAGATAAGGAAGCTTCCTATTCTGTCACATTCCCTAACAGTTTGTATTATACGCATATACACATTATGTTCTGTGCTTCAGAAAATGCATCTTTTAAACTAATACATGTTATGCGCATTGACTCCTGAAGGAAAATTAAAACTAAATTTCATGGAAAGCAAAGTTTTAAAATCACATAATACTTGTAAGTTATTCTGACTTAGTCAAGAATCTGTGTTCCAGGTTGATAAAGAATAAACTATGTCCTAATAGAATTGTTTATATCATGTTAATTTGAATTGGTAAAACATATAATTATGAGCTTTGAAATTCAGTCTTTTATAGGAAGATTAATCTGTTCCCAGTTGCACATGCTTCTTGCCTTGTGCTTTTCACAGATTATACATGCGTATCACAATGTATTCTTTCTTGATTTCAGTGTGGTCATAGAGTTTTCTACTACCTGCAATGGGAACTCAGTCTTTATCCTGTCTCCACCTCTAAACACACACACCTTTAGGTGGAACTGGCTTAGTTGATGCTTATCCAGTTATAATGGACAATGTAATTATTTAATGAAGTTTAAAGTCTCTAAGTTTTCTAAAATTATGCGTTGCTATGACATAGTAAGTTGTTAGTTTTTTTTTTTTTTTTGTTGTTGTTGTTGTTGTTTTGGTAAACTTTTTCGTTATGAGAACATCACTAATCTGATACTTTCTCTTTTTGGAGATGAATTTATAAAGTTGACTCTCTCAGGTCTCTTCTTGATATTGTTTCTTTTCTCTCTTTTACAGGGTATTGTTAATAAAGTATCTTCTAGTCATATTGGCTGTTTAGTGCATGGGTGTTTTAATGCCTCTATCCCTAAACCTGAGCAGATGTCATATGAGGAGTGGCAGAGCTTGGAGATAAATGTAGGTGATGAACTAGAATTTGATGTATTTCGCTTAGATTCAGATTCTGCTGGAGTATTCTGCATTCGAGGAAAACTAAATACCACAAGGTTAGTGTATAATGGTTGAAATACTAAATAGGAGACTAAACAGGAGACTCTATTGCTTTGGTATATACTGGAAGTAAATACTTTTTTTTTTTTTTTTAATCAAATGCCCCTGGTTTAGGTAAGTAGACTAGATTTAATGTTTAATGGCTAGGAATTTCTTAACCAACCCCCAAAGTCTGAAGCTGTTTGAGCTTCTGTAGAAGGACAGTTTAAGAAGAAAAAACAAGAACAAAAAATGTTATTGTAAATTTGGGTCAGGTATAGTGCCAGTAATCCCAGCATTCTGAAGGCTTGGACAGGAATGTCCTGAGTTGGAGACCAGCCTGTCACAGGGAGAAATAACAAAGATCAAAAAGTAGCTGGGTAATTTTACCATTGACAACTTGTAGAATTCAGTGGCCTGAGTAATAATAAGATAGAACATTTGCAGTCAGAGCCACACTACCTTATATACTTTTGTTGTGCAAAAACCATAGTCTATCGGAATTATATTGGCCCTATTTTTCCAGTCTTCTTGCTCATTGCTGTTAATATTTTTAAAATCTGCTCATTTACAGTTTGCCATTTAAGAGCTCTGTAGTTTCTGAAGATGTAGCAGAAATTGGCATTGAAGAGGCTGCTGAAAAAATTTCAAAGAAGAAAAAGAAGAAGAAGAAGGACCCAGGAACACACACAGCAGTCGATGGTGTCACAGAGCTAGCAAATGGTGCAGATGTCACTCCAAAGGAAGAAACAGACCCACTATGTGGTGGTTCTGTGAGTGACCTCTGTGAAGAAGAGCCGAAGAAGAGAAAGAAGAAGAAGAAAAGGCACCAGGAAGATCAGGACCCTGTTTTCCAAGCCAGTGACTCCAGTGGCTACCAAAGTGATCATAAGAAGAAAAAAAAGAAAAGGAAACACAAAGAAGAGATTGACTCTGTGTCACCGAAGAAGAGACAGTGACTGTCTTTTCCATTGTTGACAAACTTACATACAGTATAGATGAAAGGATGTTGTGTAAGGTAGGAAATGCTTAGATATATGGAAAAGTCACAAACACTTGTTAGTAATTGGAGAGTTTTATACTAAAATCATACATGTGACTATGTAAATTTTAGATAATACTGGTAGTATTAAAGCATCATTTTATTACACAGTATAAAATGTTAACAACTGCTTTCATTCTTGTCTCTCCATGAAATTCTACATTCTCAGTATTTGCCAAAGAACTTTGTAATACTTTGAATTTTTTTCCGATAATAAATTTTGCCCTTATTTAGAACATGTTATTTTTACTACTTTTAAATTCTCCATAAATAGTATTTCTATTTTATTGAACATGTACAGGTAAAGAATATCTAGAACACTTCTGTTCCCTGTGGCTTTCAGTGTTGAATGTGTGGTGGGTGGGAAACTGAAACTCATCCTCTCCCAGAATTTGTTTGTATGTGGGGGCGTGGCGTGTGTGGGTGTGCGCGCACGCGCGCGGCGTGCTCTAGCCCTGAGACTAATGGGAAAGGCTGTTAACTTCGAACTCATGTCTCTACCTATTCCTTTTGTTATGTATGGATCATGAGCAAGATGAAGATGAATAAATGTGGTTCTTACTAGTTGAAAATGATTTTAATTATTAGGGTTGGGCTACTAACATTACTTTGAAGAGGAGACAACCATTATTACTTTTATTGATAGAAATGTGGAACTCATTGTGAATAACCAGAAGGTGGTTACAAGAGGGTAAGCTGATTAAGGCTCACAATCAATCTATAGCCATGCATTTATAGACATTTAATTCTGTAATGTATTTTATTTAGAGACAAGGATATGAAGTCAATTGTAATGTAGTTCTTCTTCCATTAAACAACATGGGAGAAACACTTGTGTGTGCATAGCCTAAGTAAGGAACTAGAAGAGGTTAGTAATTGTAGTAAATACCATGAAGAAACCACTGACAACTCTTCAGTTAGTATCTGTACATATACAGGATGGGGCTGATCTCCTTGCTGTACCTAACTGGGTGGCAGACATAGTATGAGCATTGATGTTTAATAAAGAGTAAATTTTGCCAATTTGTGTGTGTGTGTGTGAGAGAGAGAGTGATATATATATATATATATATATATATATATATATATATATATAACAATCTTATTTTGTACACCAATCCCAGTTCCTTCTCTGTCCCAACCTCCCATGCCTCCCACTGTGCCATCCACTCCCCAGGAAGGTTAAGGCCTCCCATGAGGGATCATCAATGTCTGTCACATCATTTGGGGCAGGACCTAGGTCCTTCCCCATGTATCTAGGCTGGGAGAGTATCCCTTCATAGGGAATGGGCTCCCAAAGCCCATTTGTGCACTAAGGATAAATATTGGTTCCATTGCCAGGGGCCACATAGACTGCCCAGGCCTCCCAACTGACAGCCATGTTCAGGAGCCTGGTTTGGTCCTGTGCTGGTTCTCCATTTGTTGGACTGGGGTCCGTGAACTTCTGCTTGCTCAGGTTGGCTGTTTCTATGGGTTTCCTTAGCATAGTCTTGACCCTTTGTTCATCACTCTTTCCTCTATAACTGGATTTCAGGAGTTCAGCTCAGTTTTTAGCTGTAAATCTCTGCTTCTGCTTCCATCAGTTATTGGATAAAGTCTCTATGTTGGCATTAATCCATGGTACATAGAGTCTAAGGAATGAAAGCAACTTAGTGTGTGCAGATAGATATAACTGACAAGGGAAAGGTACAAGCTATCATCTTGCAGGTAGCTTTCAGGTGGTTCTCTGAACCATGACTATTCCAAATTGGCATGTGTTGTCAGTATAAAACAGTAGATTTTAAAGATGTACCAGAAAAAAAAAAACAACAAACAAAAACAAAAAACCCAACAAAACAAAACAAAAACCCCAAAGATTATAAAGTGTCTCAGTATTTATATTGGTGGAATTTTAATATTTTTGCTACTTTTATGCTTAACATTTTTGCTATGATGATTTAAGTAAAATACCAACTTTGGCTGTTTCCAGTTTCCAGTTTATTTTTTCCTAAAAGAATTGTAAAAGTTTTATATTACCTTTCTTTGGACAGTACTATTTAAATGGATATGTGAGTTGAAAAGGGTTTGAAATAAGTTTTATTGTTAGGATTTGATGTAACAAATCTGGAAAATGTTTGTGTCATATTTTAGGGGTTGAATATATAGTTGTAATTTTGTTTGATTCAGATAATTAATTTTGTCAGGTAATTCAAGCTTTCCATATATTTCCAAGAAAATGTGTCAAGTTTATGCTCTTGATGAAAAAAAAGTGCATTACAGATTAGTAAAATAACTAAAGTCCCACATTATTTTTATTTTGTCTCAAATGATACTCTTGAGTTTTAAAAACATTTTCTTGAAGAAGAGGTGGCCCCTGAAACATCTTCCTCACCATCATGAAGAATTTTCTCTGAATGATTGTTATGTTACACCAAGGATCTAAGTGGATGTAGCCTAATCACAATAGCCCCTTGAAACAAAAGTTTGCTGCACCTGATGGCTAAAGAGGAATTGAGAGAAATACAGTCATGACAAAAACTTGAGAGATCTCTCTGACTGTAGATGACCCAAGAGTAAGGAACTAATACATGCCCCTGGTCAGCAGTCAGTGGGGGAATTGGTCCTACATCCACAAACAACTAAATTTTGGCAGGGGCAAGAATGAATCACAAAGTAGAACATCTTGTCCTAGGTTCTTGAGTTAAACACTCACTAGACCTTGATGTATGTGGGTCAAGAACCAGCCTGTACCTTGTAGACTTCTTATGTGTGCTTTGTGTGTTCCTGCATGTGTACATGCAGAAGCCAGGGGTTAACTGGGTATCTTCCTCAGTCTCTTGCTTATTGTTTGAGATGATCTCCCTGAATCTTGAGATCAGATATTCATCTAGGCAGGCTGTCCAGTGAGCTCCAGGGACCTTCCTGTCCCCATATTCCAGTTGCTGGGATTCTGGGTATTTGCAGCTCCTAGCTTTCTTTCTTGGACTGCTGGGGGTCAAGCTGAAGTCCTTATGTTGAATAGCAGTTACTTAAGGGATGAATCATCATCTCTCTAGCCCTACCTGTCTCAAAAAAAAAAAAAAAAAATCTATAAAATGATTAGTTCTCCTAATCATTTTAGCTTGCTTTGTGTAGTAACACTAAATTTTTTATCTATTATAACCATTCTAACCATTAAGTCTTGTTTTAGGGAGTTTGTTTCATGTTTTGACCCATTAAATATTTTTGGAAATGTCCTAATTGGTCCTTATATATTACAAAGTTTCTGATTTTGTACATTAACACATTAAACCAGTTAGCCTCAAATTGCTGTTAATTTTAATTGTTAATTTCATGTGCTTTGATTTTTTTTTTTTTTTACTTGTTCTACAGTGGTGTTCTTTATTCCTTCAGAATATCAAGGGCATGGAAATTCCAATACATTAGAAACTCTGGCAAGAGGACTGCATTATCTCACAGGACCTTTGTCAGCCAACTAGGGAAGAGAAGCCACCAATTTAAGTCATCTAAAGATAATATGGGAATTACCCAAAGTCATACAGTGAGCTAGAGGCATGCACTGATATCAACTCTATATGCTGGAGCATCTGCCACATAATGTCTACCCTATTTCCTTTTTTGCATATCGATCCCAGTTCCCTCTCCCTCCTTCCCTCCCTCCCTCTGTCTCTTTCTTCCCCCCCTCATATGCACCCCGACCACCCTCCCCCCCCCCACTCCACATGTAGGGTGATGCCCATCCAGGAGGGCTCATCTAAATCTGTCAAGTCATTTGAAGTAGGGACTAGGACTTCTCTCCTGTCTCTATGTTAAGGGAGTATCCTTCCATGGGAGATGTGCCCGGAAGGTCCTTTTGTGCACCAGGAATACATCCTGGTTCCACTGTCTGAGGTCCCTTAGGCTGCTCAGGCCTTCTGGCTGAGACCCATATGCAGGGGGTCTCAGTCAGTCCCATGCTGGATTCCCAGCAATCAGTCTGGGGGGGGGGGGGCATTAGCTCCTCCTTGTTCAGGTCTGCTGTCTATGTGTTTTCGCAGCATGGTCTTGTTCTCCCTCTCTGCATCTGGATTCTAGTTTGACTCAGTGTTTAGTTGTGGGTGTTTGCTTCTGTTTCCAACAGGTACTAGATGAGGGCTCCATGATGGTGGATAAGTTAGTCGTTCTGTACCCCATTTTTTAATAGGGTTATTTGGTGTTTTGTTGACTAGTTTCTTTAATCCTAACTAAGGAAAACTATAACCATAACTATCTGTCTTCAACTCCTTCAAAGACCACAGAAGGATAATATATAAACTCTAGAAATGAGAGAGACAGCTCGCTGCCTGGTCAGTCACCTGAAGTTCTTCAGTAATGTTCCATCTTCAGTGCATAGACCATAGTGTGTCTGGCAGATTCCTCAGCAAAGCAGGAAACTTTAAGCTTTCCACCTGTTTTGGCAGTTTGTCAGTCACTTTTCTCTGTGTCCCGCAGACTGTCTGGCAGACTCTTCTATGAAGCAGGATCCCTGTAGCAATGTCCATCTTGTATCAGCAGTCACTTTCCTGTGGGCCCTGCATGTCCAGTTTATACAGCATAAAGTCAAACAGTCCAGACAAGAGCAGTATCTTGCTCAAATGGCTAGTCTCTCTCTCTCGATGGTACTCCCCACGTGGGCTTAGGTGGGTCAGAGGTTTGATGTCTGTAGCTCTGGGTGGTCCAAGCTCTCTAGGAGGTCTCTCCACAGGCAGGGGCCTGGCAATGGGGGTCAAAAATCTGGAAGGCTGGGACTCAGGATATTAAGTGTGCAAATAGATGGATCTAGCTTGAGCCTGGCACTCTCCAGCTGAGGCTTCTTCAGCAGAAGCTCAGTGATGGGGGTCAAGGATCCAGTTCGCAGGGGCTCAGGATGGCCTAAAGGGGATAAGCAGATCTCTGGGAGGGGCCCAGAACTATAGTAGACGACAGAAGGTGGGGGTCAGAGACCAGGCAGGTGGGGATTATGGGTGGTCATGTGTGGATAAGCAGGTCAGGATAAGCAGGATAAGTGTGCTCAGAACAGCTCCAGGAAGTTCTACGAAGTTGTCAAGATTGTTGGCTTCACCCTTTGTCCCAGTGCTCAACCAGAGGGGTGGGACAGTGGGCAGGGTAGGGGAGGGCAGGCTCTTGGTGTGGGTGGGTGGGTGTGTATCAGAGCACCAGGAACACTCTTGATGGGGACAGGACACAGGGGGAGCAAGATCTGGGGCCTATCCAAGGAGT